CATATAGACACTATGTCGTATACGATTAGATATATCTACCAGATATATATATCAAAAATTTCAGAAAGCACTATTACAAAGCCAATCGCCAAATAAGGTACATTCATGCACTTGCCATTTGCAGTGCTGGATTTTAGGAAGGGTGCAGGAATGGGCGGCCACCTTGGAGCGCCTACATGTAAGGCCCGTTCTACAATACGTCGTATGTCGGGTCATAAGCCGTAAGCCGTAAGATTTAACCAATTACAATCGAATATTCTTCTTACATTCAACTGTGATTGGTCAATTCTTACGACTTACGGTTTACGACCCGACATACGACGTATTGTAGAACGGGCCTAAGAGCCATCACTCATTCAACCCCCCACTTTATTAAATCCGGCACTAGGAAGAAACTCTTCAGATTTTCGTTCCATTTTTTCTATGACTATCGAGGTGAACAGTACATTTTGTTTGTCTGCAAAGATTTCAATTAAGTCGAATTGCACACACGTTTATATATATACATATGGAGTAATTATTACAAGGTAAATATATATTTCTTAATAAAGTTATTTAATTATGCTACAAGAAAGTATCGTATGAATGAATATATCAAATAGCGTATATTAAGACGTCGAATACACGTGGCGAACGCGGGGACAGAATTCAAAGCCATTTAATAAGAATTAAGTTTTTAAAGTTAAACTCGAATTTGCGAGCTTAGATGTTGCACATTGAACGTTGAAATATGTATAAAGGTCGGTATACATTCAGTTCTTATAATCACCGATCTGTATATACACGGAGAGTTTTCCAAATAGATCGACACAGAAATCATTTTGTCTTTGTCTGTTTCACTGATTGTGAATATTGAACAAAGACAAAATGACTCCTGTGTCGATTTGTCAAGAAAGCTGCCCAATATATACACTGATAAATGAATTAAAGGACTGATTACGAATATACATTGATCTTTGAACATGTCCACATTGAATTTATGTCTTTTACTGAAAATCTTCCATAAATTACTAATCAGCGTTATTAGAGTGTCCTTAATTGGAACCGATAACATGTTATGAAGATAGCTAGAAAATACCTGGGATGCGTTCCGTTTGACGCCCGTGGAATCATCGTTGTTGTTTATTAAATGTTAAACAATTAGGACAAGCAACGCTTGCAAGGGTTGCGAGCGTTAAATGGAACGCAATCCTGGTGGGAGTATAATACTATGGGAGTAAAGCACAGAGGAGAGTAAAATGTTTAGTGTACCGCATATATGCGAGGGATCAAAGTAATGAAGATGAATAATTTCACAAATTTAAACGTTATCATAAAAAAACCTGAGAACAGCCATCACGTCCTTTTTCGTGGGACCAACAAAACCTTCCGTACACTATCGCCAGAGCATCTGTTATCCATGCTATACTATATTAGCTACATCCATTTTCTGACTGCATTGTCTATAAAATTATAGCAGAGAGAACATATAATAAATAAATATGGTTTGAGTTTCGCTACATTCACAAACTGTACATAAGAAATATACGTTCATATTGCGACAATGTTGATAAAATATGATGCATGTTCGTGCTTATATACGTCCTAGAATATACGTGTATAATTTTTTTTGCGGAACAATACACATAATAGTATATAGAATGGTCCATTTTAATACAGCCAATTATTTCCAATATTATTTATGAAATCAGAAAAACGTTTTTTATAAAAGTTAAACGATTTTGAGGGGGAGTATATTTGTATTTTGGTCAAAAGTTTTTTTTCTAAATGGATCAAGGTGTTAAAAGATATGACGGTTATCTTCACTTTTTTAAATAAAACAGTATAATTTTTTCACAATATAATTTTTCTAATTATTCTGTATATTTTAAAATAAGATTAAAGTTATCGAGAAATCAATATTTTACAGATATTTCATATTTTATTATGCTATTATTTGACATAAAATATGAAATATCTCGTAAACTATTGCTTTCTTGATATTTATTGATAATTGTAACTTTACTTTTATGCACAGTATAATGTGATGTACCGATTGGTGTAAATAAAATATAAAGTTGCTTTTACAAAAAAATACAATTTTTACAAATCTTTATTGCAAATAAACTATGGGTTTTCTTTACACTAATCGATTCATCTCATTATTCCATGCATAAAATAAGTATTAAATTAACAATTATTAAAAACAAAAAAGAAGAATCTAAAAACCAAGAAAAAGTTGTAAAAATAAATGGACTAAACTGTCCTTTAATGAACTGCAAGAAGGAAACGAAAGAAGCTAATTAGAGGCAACGCAATATTTGATGCATATGAAATTAAATCATTTTAATACGTATGTTCGTAATTACAGTAGAACGTTTCGACTCTGATTTGAGCCATCTTCAACAATACAGAAAACTTTTTGGTTTTTTCTCCACACACGTAAGATTTCTAAGTATCACTCATGACCGGTTGATAAGCCGAATGATCTTAGAAAAGAAAAAAATGATATACGCCCATAATTTTGATGTATGTATTCAACATGTCAAAAATTAAACATAAAGCATTCACCAAACGTGGCAGAGCTTAGAAAAGAAGTCGAAGCATAGCTTAAAATCGTAGAACATTGATAAATAAATATAAAACGAATATAAAGAAACAAGTGAAAGTTGTAGATCAACAGACCAATCTTTTACAGTAGCATTTTTACTGCAAATTGTCTTTTTACTAATTTGTTTTACTTAACATAATTAGTATAACTTTTATTACCAACTATAATAATTATCATATATGATATCATATATAAATGTGACATTTTACTATAAACATAAAAATCACAAAAATATTATTCTTTATGTCTTTATTTATTTTTTTCAGAAAAAGACAATGGCGTGCTATAATACTCAACCTTTACATTTTAAGAATAATATTAATTGTTATTCCTATGTAAACAGAGTAACCGCAGATGAGACAGATCATGTTGACTTCATTTATCAACTTTTAAATATTAGTAATTGTTCCAAAAGTAACGATAATTTTAGCACATTTGTTAATTATAAAATAACTGAGCCCCCTACCAAAGTTACAAAATATGAAGATTTCACAGAGGTATCTATTTACCACGATATGCATATGTATTTCTTTCCTGTATTACTGTTATCGTCTTGTATAAATCGCAATTGAAATTTAAGCAAGATATTGTAGTATTTAACATCTTTCTGACTTATTTTTTAATACAGAGATTTTACGAACCATTAAAGTACACATCTGCATCATCTGCAGATGACACACCAAAGAATAATATGGTAGTCAAACCAAAACAATATATTAGTAAGTAATATTTGAATAAATAAGATATTGTTGAAGATACATTTTTGTTAAAAAAAAATTATTATTTTATTTACTATTTTCAAGATATCGAATTTTATGAAGCGTGTTACCCCATCAGAGTGTCCCTGTATGGCGTAAGGAACGTTGGACGAATTTGGGCACAAAAATTTGATGGTCAATGGTTTCCAATATTGGTGGAAGTAGCTAATCATAGCCTGCAGTCGAATAAATTGACAACGTTACAATCCTATACTTTACAGTTATATCTATCATGCGATTTTAAAACGAAAAAACTCATATTACAATTAACTCCTTCTGATGTTTATTACTCAAGAAAGATAGAAGCTATAATGCTTATTGGTACAGCAGAATTGATCGTTCCTCGAAATCCTAAACAGAACCTAAATAACCTGTTATACAACCTGTTATTCAACATTAGTTCAATTATCCCCATACATATTTACGATAGGAGACTTAAGGAACTAAATTATGATATACTCAAACTTCAAGAGAACTTTAACAAGTGTTGCATTGTTTGTAAAAGGTATAATACTATATAATTATTGCCCATAAATATTGAATCTTTTCTTATTGTATTAAAAATGAAATTAAATTTGTTTCAATGTTATTTGCAGTGATATCATAGAGAGTTTTTATAAAAGTGAGCTCGGGAGCAAGCAAATATTTCAACGAATAACCAGAGAAGCCATGATACCCAATGTGCCACCTTTTAGACAGATATATATGCATTACTTTTTAAAAAGCTTAGAAAGTTATTCGAATTATAAGAAGTGTGTGAAAGATATCAAACCTTATTCGGATGAATCGAAAGAGCGATCATCTTGCAATTTCTCTGAGCTCTCTGTAAAATTTTAAAAATTATTGTCTTATAATGATTGTTATATTATTTCATGTAATAAATTAAATTTTATCTTTGCAGGATGAAATGGTACTAAAAATATTAAAGAACTTAGATGTGACATCATTAAGCCGCATGAGTAGAGTCAATAAACGCTTGAATAATTTATCACGGGATTATACGCTATACAAATATTTGAACTTGCGGAATATACATTTTACATACATGCACAATGATCTCTCTCAGTTATTTGATTACTTTACACCAAGATGTAAAAGTTTACGACAGTTGGATCTGTCACTTTGCGAATTTTCTAATTCGAAATTTAGAAAATTTGTGAAAACTTGCTGCAGGAATTTAACGCATCTAAGATTAAGTGAATGCTTTTATGTTGATTCTGAACTACGTTATATTTCAGAGATATGTAAAAATTTGAAAGGTATGTATATGATTATTAATTATAATTACAGGTAAATTATATAATGATATGATATAATACAAATATTTTTTTAGAATTGGATCTGAATTATTGTTATGGCATAACAAATGAAAATATTTCGTACATCAAGAATTTAGAGTTTTTGGAAAGTTTACATCTTGAAGATACAAATATACAAACTAATACTTTGTGTGAGATGCTACATAAAAATCGACACATGCGTGACTTAAATTTATGCTCTTGTTTTGATCTAAACATAGATGCAGTCGCAGTAGAATTACAGAATTTATGTCCTAATTTGGAAAGATTAAATTTAAAAGATTGCAACCCTTTTACATCACAAACCATTGATGCTCTTGCCAAATGTAAGAATCTGAAAGAAGTAAATTTTTCTGGGTACGTATGAAAAAGGGCTTATTCTATAATTCATATTACCGTATTCTTCATTGAAATGCTTATTTTTTTGCATGCTATTCCTATAATCGTATATTGACTTTTGTTTTTGTAGATGCAAGATGGCCGATAGAGTTAATGATAATATCTTCGGTAGATTGTTTTCCTCCTGTCAATTCCTGGAAAAAATCGACTTGAGCAAATTTGAAAGACTCACCGAGAGTGAGTGTAAATCGCTAACATTGTGCAAGAACTTAAAATCCTTAAGTTTGGCATGGGTAAATTCGGTGACACCTGACATATGTTCTCAACTTTTTGTGGAATGTCCTAAACTGGACGAACTCGATCTTAGCTTCTGTGAACATATCAATGGGAACTTGGTTGACCAGTGGAATAAAATATACAATGTAATTGTGTATCAATACTAACTGAAATTTATTATTTTTATACACTTGATTTTATTACAACGAACACAAGTTAATTAGACGAAACAAATAATATTTTAAATTTGACAATTAGATGTGTAAAATAAGGCCTTTTTATCTTACGACAACATTGTTAATCCATTGTTTCAAGAATTATAGATTCATGTGTATCTTGATGTGTTCCCATACTGGCGAACATATGAGCATCGAGATTATTTATACTTTATTTAGAGCTTTTTTGTTATTCAATAGAGATCACGTATGCTTGTATTCTTGAAATTAAAAGTCCATCTTACACAATGCGGAACTTATGGAAGTTAGTGTCGAATTTAATCATTTCTAAGGTACCCAATGCTGAAAATTATCATTTTTATTTTTCGCTATTATGATACATAATTACTGTGTCCTGGCAACACTCTCGTTAGAATGCTGCCTAATGTAATAAAGTAGTCTTAATATAGCCGAAGGTGTCACACCTGAGATTTTATTGGCCGCCGCGATCTGCAAGATAAGTCTCGTTAATACAGAAACTATTGATACAAATAATTAATAGCTCGATCAAAGAAACAATAAGTGCCGACTATAGCAACGACACTGTCGGGATTAAAACAAAAAGAGAAAAGAAATTTGCTTTCGTGATATAAATAAAAAAGTCATTTTTACAGAAGCGCTATTCATAACGAAAAGATTTACCGTGCGTGGAAGATGTTTCGTAAGTTTCTCTCGATCTTCATTGGATAAATTCAAATCAGGGCTATAACAAAAATAAAACGAGCAATTAGTAATTTCCTACTTTCCTCAGACATTTAAAACTTCAAAGATCATCATTCTTTTCAATTTTATCATGCGATAATTAAAAAAACGATCGGACAAAGAAATAAATCTTCGATCTTCACCTGCTGTAGTCGATATCGTCGGGTATAATCATCTGCTCGTTTCTCCTGATGTCGTTCACGTGGTCCTGTTGATCCGCGACAACGTGAATGTATTTCGTTTCTATCTGAAAATCGAAATCATTCCGGTGTTGGAAAAATATTGGCAAATGTGTATCTTACTTAAATGCATTTAAGTAAAATTTCTAAAAGTTTCATTTCGATCGTTTATACAAAACTCTTTTCTTTCAATTGCATAGATTTCAGGTGCGGGCCATTTGAGCAATTAGAAGAAAGAATTTTACTGACTGACCGATCAATGCTTCAGAGCATTTGTTAGCATAAAACGGACCGTAGCCTTTCTCTTCCAAGATGCGATTGCGTTAATTAATTCAAATTAACAATTAATTCACAAACCTCCAGTCTTCTCGCCAGACCGGGATCCCCAGCGAGATATTCCAAGTTCGGCAACAGTTTCGCTAATTGCGCGAACGTGACTTCCTCGGTCGACGAGCACAGCATATCGAACGCCGATTTGTGTGCGGTGCTCTTGGAGCTCTTCAGCCTCAGCAGCCGTCGCCATTTGTAGTTCGACCGCACGTCGCTCTTGAGTACCTGCACAGCCTCCTGCATCTTACGAAGGACCTCCCTCGTCCGCTCGAGCCTCTCGCGGGAAACGCAGCCCACCGCGTGGCCCTTCTCCGTCAATCGCTGATCGGCGTTGTCGGGACGCAGGCTCAGCCGAAACTCCGATCTGCTGGTGAACATTCTGTACGGCTCCGTGGTACCCTCCGTTGTCAGATCGTCGATGAGTACGCCGATGTAACCCTCGGTTCGACTTATCAGAAGCGGCGGTTTCTCAAACACCTGAGCGTACACAGAGACAAAATGTAAAACGTGCTTAAAAACGTGCCTATATATTAACTTCCCAATTGGCAATACCGCGAAACAACGAAACGCTTCAAGATCTTTTACAAATAAAAAAATGTAAATCATTTTTCTGAGACAAGTCGAAGATTTATTACTGAAATTAAAAAAAAAAGACTAAATGGACAAATTGTTCAAGAGAAATTTTAATTGATGTGATTTCAATGAAAGGCCAAATAAATTTTTAACTTGTTCTTTCTCCACGTTGGGAAGCAGTAAAGCCACAAGCACTTTCTACATGACGCCAATCACCTTAGCGGCCGCGTTAACACCCGCGACGATACCTTGTGCGGCTGCTTCTTCGTAACCGGTGGTGCCGTTGATTTGCCCGGCGAGGAACAGCCCCGGAATCTTTTTCGTCTCCAATTGAGTGGTCAATTCTCTGGGGTCTACATAGTCGTACTCGACACCGTAACCAGGCTTGACTATTCAAACGTAAATGCAAATGAGGGAATTGGAAAGATTTTCTAATGTAAAATTATAATGGAAATAGAATAGGAGATATTGTTATAACTGGGGCGCGGATGTTCGGGCACGATGCCGAGACGCGCGCGGAGAACCGCTGCGTGCAAGTTAGTCGGATGTTCGCTGAAATGAGATAACATTTCTCGAAGAAACCTGAAGCCCGATCTGAATATATCTTATATCTATCTCGACTGGCGCGCGATCTACTCAAAGTAAATAAAGCGCGGAGATTATTTTCTGTATTTTTTTTTATTGATTTGAGCTCGCGTGAAAACGCTTTTCTTCAAAATGCCGAAATCTTTAGAGGAAAAATTGAAATTTAAACAAAAATATTTAGGATTCATAAAACTGAGCTTCGAGAAATGTTATCTCATTTTAGCGAGCATCCGATTAACTCGTAGCGGTTCTCCACGCGCACGGAGTAATCCTCAGTAATGTTTCAAACTTATAACGGAATAGAGAAAAGAATCGGAATTAATTATTTCAGTTAAATTCAAATCGAAATAATTAAAATAATTCGAGCTGTTAAATTTATTATCTTTTTTATTTATTACGACCACCGGGATCGTGTCAGAACATCCGCATCCTAGCTATAACTTTTGTTATAACTTCAATTTAAAGTGATTACCTAGACGAGCGTTTTCCAATCCTGGGATACATTTAACCAGTTCCACCTGCTTCTCTTCCGGCAGAGTGCACGACAATCCAGCCGGATAGATCAACGGCGAGTCCAGACCTTCCGGCTCCAGCCAAATCTGATGTGCAGGCGTCTTGAATCGCAGAATCTTACTCTCTATGCTCGGGCAATATCGCGGGCCCGATATTTCCTCCGTTACGTGTAAATTACAGTGCATATTGTCCTTTATGATCTTTGCGACGTTTTCGTTTGTATACGTCAGATACGTTAGTAGTTGCTGATCGGGCGGTAGCCATACGTTATCGCTCATGAACGAGAACGGTACGGGAGAGTCGTCTGGCAGAGTTTTTGAACATTTGGTAAAGTCGATGCTGTCTTTCTCCAATCTTGGCGGCGTGCCTAGCAGTATGTATATATTTCGAATTAATATGTAGTTATATATATAATTAATGTATAATTAAAATAAAGCTGATATGTACATTCGTGGACAGATCGGTTGAGACACTTTTTTTTTTATAGGTTTCAAAACGCACTAATATTTTGCAAATGCGAACCACGATTGGTGCTATACTGTCTCTAGATTAAAGATAGTACATCGTGGTCCGCATTTGTAAAATATTAGTTACCTATAAAATATATCATGTATATTAAATATATATTAGAAACTTATAAAAAAAAGTGTCGATCTGTCCACGACTGTACATGATAAATTTTTTTTTATCATGCACATATCAGCTAAAATATTAAATAAAAAATATTCACTGAATAGTACATTATTATTATAAATTAAAGGTTTACTACATAAAACGTTATTCTTACCAGTTTTCAGTCTTCCTATTCGAAATCCAAGTCTGTCGAGTGTATTTGCCAAACCAACGCTGGATTCGTCGTTCAATCTGCCTGCGGGCCGTTTCTCCAACCCAATGTTTATTTGGCCTTTCAGAAAAGTGCCCGTGGTGATAACTACCGCGTCACCAAATATCTTCCTGCCATCTCCTGTAAAATAAAACGAGTTAGTAGATGCGACATCTTGTGTAGAAAATAAATTTAACAGCTCAAGTTATTTTAATTATTTCGACTTGAATTTAACTGAAACAATTAATTCCGATTCTTTTTTCTGTTCTGTTATCAAAGTTCAAAACATTACTGAGGATTACTCCTTGGCAGAGCAGAGGATCGTTCTTCAAAATCAGATCTTCCACAGAGGATTCGTAGATATGTAATCCCGGCATATTAAAGAGTTCCGCTTGAAGATGCGTCTTGTACAATACTCTGTCGATTTGAGCTCGGAGACCCCACACCGCCGGTCCCTTGCTCTTGTTCAGGACCTTGTAGTGTATCCCCGAAATATCGCATATCCGACAACACACTCCGTCCAAAGCGTCCACCTCCCTCATCAGATGGCCCTTTCCGATTCCACCAAAGGACGGATTACACGACATCTCTCCTGCAAATGTAATTGTATTCCAATATATTAGGCCGTATAATCTTACTTAGAAGATGCATTTCATGTATCTTTAATGTTTCATGTACGGTTATCCAGTAGATTTCAGCATGCCGCACTTCTAACCATACGCACCTATAGTACTCTTTTTCTGAGTAACCAACAGTGTCTTTGCACCCATTCTGACGGCAGCGGCAGACGCCTCGGTTCCGGCATGACCACCACCGACGACGATCACGTCAAATTTGATTTTATCCTTGTCTATTAGTTTCCTCAATAAGCGTTTCTGTTCGCAGCGTCTGTCGCACCATCGGTTTAATAGAGACGATCTGATCCTTGTGAGAATCATTTTGCCTCCGCTGCCACGCCTTTTATCTTACTTTCTGCAAAGATTATTCAATCGTTTTTGAACACCAGAGAGAAGATAATGCAAGACAATGAAATCAAATATCAATATATAGCATTCGCTTACAGTTACACTAGTTTTATAAAATACTTAATAATTAATGTCTATCTCTCTGTAAGCTAATATCTACGTGCATATCACCAATATGTCTAAACACCTGACTTTTTCAGTTAAAAAAAAATTTATCCTAGTCTTTTCTCGTGCTGTAATATCGTGATTTTCTTTTCGTGATCTTGTGTTTTTTTTTTCAACGAAAAAGGAATTCGCGTGGTAGTTAACGGGAAGACAGACGTACGCAAGTATGCTTTTATTACGTAAATTACAAGAAATGTGAATATAAAATGACAGATGAAAATATATCAGACGTGATGATCCGACAGGAGATATTCCTGATCCTTCAAGGCTCTGTACAACGAAACATATCGCATCGCATTTTGCATTTTCGACAGTATCAGTCGCTCGCACAGGTCCTCCTTGCTCGCGAATCTCAGATCCGCGTGTCCCAGATTATTGAAAAACTCCAGAACGAAGTTGAAGCAGTTCATACCGACGGCGTCGTAATTAACGGATTCCCACTTGGGATCCCTCGACATGAGCGACAGCGTTTCGTCCCAGCGCGCGGCCCAGGCCGCCGGCACGACCTCCAGGGCGATGCAAACGGTCCACCGGGCGACGTCGTTCGCCATCAGTCCCCCTCTGTCGAACTCGACAACGCCGCCGGCGGAGTCGACTATCCCGACGTGCAGATCGTCGCGCGTCGCGTCGTAATCGTCGAGGAAGCTGCCCCGCGCGGGCCGAATAACGACGCTGGTCGGCCGGTGGGCGGCGGTCGCGAACGGATAGGGAACGCGAAACGGGTCCACGGCGAAGCTCCGCATTTGCGACGAGCACACCGGGCACGTCGCCGGGACGCGCCTGCAGAACGCGCTCCTCGCCGAGCAGTGACGGAAGCAGAGGATACCCGGATCGCCATTCATACCTCCAGAGGGAACGGAACGACGCGTTCAACGAGATCTCTATTTAATTCTATCGTCCCCTAGAGAAGCTTCCATTTTCCTACTCGAGGAAGACGACGAGGGTGCTTCCTGGATCTGCAGAACTGCGACGTACAGACAACATTTGTCGCATGAGCAACCAGCTTCGTCGACTGCTCCTCTTTCTTATCCCTTCCTCTTTTTCACTACTTTACAACGACCGCACTGAAAACGAGAAAGCAAGGACACGAAAAGTGTAACAAAAATACCTGCGAGAATGCAAATAAAATAATGCAAAAACGAAAGACAAGCTTATAGGGTAACTGTCCCTATTAGTGTGCCTGTACAGTCGTGGACACATCGGCATTGCAACACTTTTTTTTTATAGGTTTCTAATATATATTTAATATGCATAATATATACTTTATAGATAACTAATATTTTGCAAGTGCGAACCACAATGTACTATCTTTAGTCTAGAGACAGTATAACACCAATCGTGGTCCGCCTTTGCAAAATATTAGTGCGTTTTGAAACCTATAAAAAAAGAAAGTGTCGCAACCGATGTGTCTATGACTGTACATCCCTATTAGTCTACTTTTATATTTAAATAAGTCATAAAAATAAACTGGTACAAATAAATAGACAGTGTTTTTTTTTTATTAAGTTAATACTTTAACTTAATAAAAAAAAACACTTTGTCTATTTACTTGTCAGTTTACTGGTCACTGGTATGTACAAATAAATAGACAGTGTTTTTTTTATTAAGTTAATACTTTAACTTAATAAAAAAAAACACTTTGTCTATTTACTTGTCAGTTTATTTTTATGACTTATTTAGATATAAAAGCACTCTAACAGGGACAGTTACCCTACACCAGAGTAAAGAGATCACGCGATCCTAAACAAACCTAACCTAGACGCACATGTTTCATAATGTAAAGTTTGATGTTATTCCACGACGTTCCGCTCGCGATAGAAATATCTCATCTGCTCGTGTTAGCGGCAATTAGAACGAGAATAACGAGACGCACTGACCATCACGCGTTATCAAAATAATCAGTGAAACCCGCCAACGAGAGCGTGCGGCCTAACCTCAAAACTTAAAACTCTTCCCAGGATTGAAGATACTCACATGCTTAGCACACGTGCGATCGCACACATGTCTTGCAACGAGAGCTGGATGCCTCGACGTCAGGTATGTATATACACACGTATCATACGTTTCAAAACATCATCGCGAGTTCCAAGCAATTGCGAAGCCTCCCGATGATAAATGCGGTAAATAATCTACTCTCACACGTACGTCACGTGTAACTGCGTTCGTGTAACTGCAAAGTGCAAAGTGCAAACGCGACGCACGATGAGTGATGACAGCTATATGTATAATTGTCTCGGGAAGCTCAAATCCTTGGAACCGTGGTACTTGGATCCTAAGGATCAGGTATCCAGAGGGATAAGAAGAGAAAGCTCAAATCGATTGCCAGAATATCTAAATTTTTTTATGGTCATCGATATTGAGTTTCCAGCATAATTATTTTGATGGTTCCACAAAATTATTTTCAGATTTGTGTATCTGCAGGCTATAAATTTTAGAACTTTCAACTGTGTCTTATACTGACCACAGAAATGTATATATTTATATATATAATGTGACATTCACACGCACGTGACTGATGTATCCTATATATATATTTAAAAAGAAGCAAAATTAATATGTATGTATGTAAATATATCAACCGTAAATATTTCATTATATCAGCTTGAATTTCGAAGCGCTCTTCTGTAATATATATTTAAAAAGAAGCAAAATTAATGTGTACGTAAATATATCAACCGTAAATATTTCATATCAGCTTGAACTTCGAAGTGCTCTTCTGTAAAACTTTCTATAAACTTTTATAAACTTTTTTCGTATTTTTGAAAATTTGAAAATGAATCGATTAAGAACATTTATTTAATTTACTGTAGGAGTTGGCCATAATAACACTTTCACGACTTTAATTGTTATTCTTTTTTTCGCCCGGGTAGCTGAGATAATTCAAGGTATTTCGTCGCATTTATTACAAATTTTTTATCTCAAATTTTTTCCTTTGTAACGATAAAGTACGTATATAAATCTGTTCGCGTATAATTGTTTGTACTTTTCGCACTGAGAGTCTTCGCTTCCTCTCTCTCTCTCTCTCTCTCTCTCTCTCTCTCGAACGTTTGAATACGTATATATTTATTTCATTTTAATTAAATGCAAAAATCTTTAAAGATTAATTCATGCAACGCGAACAAGCAATTTCAAATAAGCGCATCATTTGACGCGCGCGTCACGCGTCATAATTCATAAACGTCTTTCTTTGTTGGAAACAGTTACATATAATTTTTGGTCCTCAGGTTCTCCCTACAGGACATGAACTTTTGAACGCTGGCGACAAATACGATAATGCTTTTGCAGTTGGATAAATTCAATTGTAAACGCGTATTAAACGCGCGACAGTGCTATAGAATTATAGTCACACTATATACTCATGCAAAAATGATCGGTCCATAGACCTCGATTCTAAACGTTTCTAAACATTGATTCGATGTCTACGGACGTCGAATCGACGTCTATTTATTTAATTGTGCCTTGGACCGATTATTTAATTGTGCCTTGGTATATTTGATCTAATTAAATTATTTCTCGAATAACGCGTGACGCGCCTATTTGAGTCGAGTACCTTTATTTGTTTTGTTACATACTGCTGAATCGGCGCGATCTCTCCGCCGCTCTCCTCCGCCCCCCTTTGCATCCCTGTACTGGCGGGTCTCGGATTTCCACTGACCTGACCGAGGCTCGCGCGCGGTCGGTAAACCTGACCGAGGCTCGCGCGGTCGGTAAACTCCGACAGCGCCACCGTACGGCTCGGCGCCGCCGGAACTGGGTAACAACTGTAACAAGAGCCGCGGACCGTTGGATCGAAGGTGCCCCCTCTCCTCGCCCCCTCTCTTCGCCGTCCCTCGCGCTCATTCTCGCGTCGCGAGAGTTCCGTTTCCTTCGTTGTGCGGGGGTACACGTATTCCACCGTTCGTGTACGCGACGTAGGCACTTCTGCGACCCGTACGCGTGCATATATATTTGCAACCGCTGCACCTTCTTACACTTTCTGCAGCCGAAATATCGGAGCGTGTCGGAGGTGCAAAAGGTGCAACGGAATAAAGCGCGAAAATAAGATACTCGGCGTCAACGCGGCCGAGGGTGGGCTACCGCGCGCGGCGGCGGCGGCCGATTCAGCTAATTGGGATCGGGCCGCGAGGAAAAGCGCGCGCGACCGCGGACCGCGCCGCGTCGCCCGGTCGGCCGTCGAGTCAGCCCGCGGGGTTTGCACAATACACAAAGTCGGCGACGTCGAATGCGCGCCGTCCCGTCGACGAGGATGAAGGGCTGCTTCACGCGCAACGAGGACGGCAAGGTCGCCGTGGACGAGAACGGGTTTGTCACGATCACATGCGAAGGTAAGGTGAACGCGCGAGGGATTTCCGCGCGAACACGTAACACCACGTTTATGTGATTCCCACTGTCCCGCCTGCGACGTACGTTGTTTTTTTTTTTCCCTACGCCACGTCCGTTGGCGATAAACCAAGTCGAGGTAAAGCTCGCCACGACCGGGGACGACGCGTGTCCCTTTAACACAGCGGTTTATTCTTCTTCTTCTTCCTTTTTTATGGTGCCTGCTCTCTGTCGAGAGTCAAGTCGGCCAGTACAGCGGTTTATGTTTACAGAGGAGGCCGTGGTCTTTCAACTTCACATATCGGAGATCGACGAGAAGGCGGAGCAGATGTGCTTCAATGTCAACGGCAAGGATATATATATCGACATAGTCCCGTCGGAGATCGGGCCTGAGAACGACTCCGAGAGCGAGGTACCGCTGGCGGAGAGGTGCAAGGAGGAAAAGGTCGGCACGCCGGCGACGAGCAAGGGCGGCAATGTCGTTTTCCCGTGGTGCGACGCCTCGACGAAGATCTTCCTGAAGGAGTACAAGGCGAAGAAGGAGCTGGTGAGGGCGCGGAAGCTGAAGAACATGAAGAGGGCGTACCAGGAGATAGCCAAGAACCTGGGGGAGAACGGCTTCAAGGTGTCGCCCCTGCAGGTGGAGAACAGATACAAGACCCTCAAGCGCGCCTACAAGAACATGATGATACACAACCGGAGGAACGGGAGGGGAAAATATATCTGCAGTTACGAGGAGTACGCTCGTTTCTAGAGAATTGTCTATAATAGTTGAATCTTAGAACATATATTACCGGAAGGGGAATTGAGTGCTGAACGTGAAGCCAACATCTGTGCGAGAGAGAAAGGTATAGGTTTTCAATTGACTGTAATACGCATGTGCCATTCAGCCCCCATTCTGTCTGTTTTGCCTAATTTCTTATTTTTCGAAAATCTTTTCAAAAAAAAAAACTGAAAAACTGAGCTAAGTGGGGGCTGAATGACACATGCGTAGTTAAATGGGAACCTTTATTATACCTTTGTCTCTTGCACAGATGTTAGCTTCAGCTCGATGCACGAACGATATAGACAATTTTCCTTCCAGTAGTATATATGTTCTAAGAGTTGAATGTAATCGGTCCGCGACTCACGTGTTAAATCGCACTTGCAGAGATCTGGATGAAATCTTCTCCAATGATGTGTACGACACGGAGATAAATAACGGCGACGAAAGCATGTCAGACCCAAGGGCAGCGTAAGTTACAACTCATTGGAATAGTTATGGAATTATTTACTGACGATCACTGATTTAAACAAATCACTAATATCCATATTTCTTTTATTTTACTTTATTTTATTTATTTATTTTTTTTTTAAAGATCCACGCCGATGGCCACCTCAAGAACGAGCGTGTGCAATAGCGATTCGACTTATTTAAAGACCGCTCAGCACAATGCCAGATTGGAGGCTCAGAACGTGAAGATAATTGATAATCTGCAGAGCTGTCAGCGTTTATTGAGGAACCTGATCAGCCGGATGGACACCAAGGGCAAAAATTCCAATTACATGCAAAACGGAGTCCTGCAGGTGTGCATGGAGATGCGGGACATGCAGAAGGAGGCGTACGGGCGCGCGGAGGAGCAGAGGGAGAAGGCCCGGGAGCAGAGGGAGCTGAGGAATAACTTGCTGGAGGAGATCGTGACGATTCTCAGGTCCAGGAAGGACACGTAATACGATCGACGTCAGGGCCAGCGCAGGACGATTGTTCGCATCCTCAAATAGTTACGAGATGACAGAATTTATTTATTCTTTTAAATGCAAAAAAAGAGAGAGATAATTTTCTTGTTGTGTATTTTTATAATTTCGTCGCACGACTAACACACGTTGCCTGCCCGGTGAGTGGTTTGTCCCGTGTCGCGAATCAGAATCTTACGATACAGAAGTTTTCATAAAACGCATGTGTGGTTCCATTACAAACACATTATTGTACAATACGATTACGCAGAGCTATCACGATCGGGCTAATGTGTCGAATACTTTTTTTTTACTGTACATTGTTGCTGTATTATACATGTCACTTGAGATTTTATATATCAGTTGGCTTTTATCTTTTTTACAAGAGTTTTAAAAAGTTTCGCCGTTGGAACGCATCCACTGGATAAAGTCACGACGTCAATCACGGAGAACAGACGGACTGCTGCTACCCACCACACATGGCAGTTAACGTGTTGTCTAGCAATTCCAACAAATAGGCAGGCAAAAACAAATATTCATACACATTGAAGTAAGATGTTTACATTTAATGTGAATAATATACAACCATCTGCAAACCTGAGGTATACATGACGGTCGGGTTTTAAACTGCACCGACCACTACGAACTAATCGTTTTTTCATCCCTAATTTAAGTTGCTTTACCGTAAAATTTAAAATTAGATAAAAATAATATAGTTAAAAGTTGAATAATCAAATTAATAAGGTTATACGATTGAAAAGAGATAAAAGTTCTACGACAAATCCAAGTTACCTTTTGTGATTCTGTATATTAATATCAAAAATAAATTAATATTTCTGATATTGTTCGAAGTATACCAATATTCTGTATATACCTTGATTTTCTTGCTTCGTCTTTTTTGTATTGGACTGCTCGATAATTACTCTATAAAACGAGATGTTGCGTGATGAGGATGAAGTAATATACCTAAGTGTTTCTAATTCATCATTGATAAAAATCCACTCCCCCCCCCCCCTACTACGGCACCAACATAGTTCGATCTCCAGCTTCCGGTTACGGCGACCCGAGAGGAATTTTTTAAAGCGTCACTTATACGCGCCCACACGGAAAGATCGTGTCCAATAGGAGGAGGAGGCGAAATCTGACGCAATCCTCGCGCGTGGAAATCGGACGTCCAATTGTGTTTCCTGTCGCTCACATGGCTCTCGCGGTTGTGCGCTAACATATTTCACTATTTATTGACGTATTTATTAATTTATTCGGTGAGGATGATCATTTCCACGAACGAGGGCAACCCGAACGCGCTGAAGCTGATCGTCGCGGCGAAGCTGGCCCAGGAGGCCGTCTCTGTCAGGATTCTGAAGCCCAGCGGTGGGTTTATTAACCTCTTCCTGTTCGCTCCCTCGCGTCTCGACTCACATAAATTCCTTCGCGAGAACGGGAGGATATTCGCGAGGCTAGACTCACACGCTTGATCTTGCCTCGCGAACGTTACCTTCGATCAGATCCTGTCTTGAAATTCCAAGAGATAGGCATTTAAACCGATCAACTCCAACCTCTTTGTCAGCTTCCTAATTTATTGGAACACCACGAGTGTTTATACATATTTTACGTCAATTTTCTCCGTTTCACTGAATTGATCAATGTGATCAAGGCCCTTCTACAAGGCCCAGCATATTTAATGCATTTAGCGTTACAATTGTCTATTACATGCAGACGCTACCCTGGGCCGTTTGCCGACGCTGACTACACCCACAGGATTGTCCCTGTTCAGCGTCTCGTCAGCGCTGCGTCTCCTGTTGTCCGTGCCTAAAGAACTGGAGGTTCTCAACGACAGATGGTTGGAGTGGGAAATTTCTCAATTACAGGTATCATTTCAGTTCGACATTGACTACCACTTTGTCTTTTGTTTTCAATCCAGTATGATTTTTATTTTTGTTTTTTTTTTACAATCATATCATTGAATCTAATAGAACAGTTATTAATTTTGAGAATACATAGGATATGATCTCCTTTGAAATGAATTTAAAATAATTTGTTGAAGTAAAGTATATTTTTTGCAGCCAGTCATATTAAGTCACGCAGGCGCGAAGACTTCTAAGACTCCACAGAAATCCGACTTATGGTCTTTACTAAAAGATCTCAATAGTGAACTGAAAGACAAGCAGTACTTAATTGAGGTAAACGATGAAAGCACTTTTTATTACTCTAATGTCCTTTTTATCATCCATTCTTTATTTCACGTTTTGATCTGATTTTTGTGTTTTTTTTTATAGAAATGTAGTAATTTATCACCAGCAGATATATCTATTTGGGTAAGTCTTTGGAGCACCATATTGGTTACAGATATCGCAAATGATATTACCAAGGACTTACCAAATGTCAATAGCTGGTTAGCTAATATTCAGAAGCAGTCAGTTATTCAGCAATCAATTAAGGTAAAATTGCAATCAGTATTTCATAAATATAAATTTTTATATATATATATGTATATAATTTATATATTTCGAATATACATTACAGGAATTTACTGAAATGTTGAAATTGGAGAGAGGTGCAAAGGCTATTGCGAGCATTGAAGCTGCTTCTTGGTTTCCTGTCAATACTTCGAATATCCAAGTCCGCGAATCAGTACCTGGTGACGTAAGTATTTTAAACATTTGTAATGGACATGCCACGAACAGTATAGTGAATCTCTCTCTTACATACGTGGACCCAAATGACTTGTTTTAGATTAGCCCAACTAAGGAAAAAGAGGTGGAGATCAAAGAGGAACTTAATCAAGAGGAACTTTGTAATGTGGCAAAGAGTTGGAGCACTGAACAGTATCCGGAAGTGAAGGAAAGTTCATATCCTATGTAAGTTGGATGAATCTAACAAGTGCGTATCGTTTATAGGAATTTATCAAGTTCTAATTGTATACTCTTTTTTTTTTCCTTTAGACTGCCTAAAAAGGGTGAACGAAATGTGTTGATAACGTCGGCTCTTCCCTACGTTAATAACGTTCCGCATCTAGGAAATATTATCGGCTGCGTTCTTTCGGCCGATATCTTTGCAAGGTTTGTATCGGTGTACTAAAATGTTTAATAAATATAATAACAACTTGTAATTCGACGATACAATAACGCGAGTTTTTTTTTTGCGCAGGTATTGCAGACAAAGAAATTACAACACTCTCTACATATGGTAATTCTTTTTTTTTCCTAAATCTCTTTTTGCAACATACAAAAAATTCATATTCCAACTTAAATAAAATTTCATACAATATTATTTCAGTGGGACCGACGAGTACGGCACCGCGACTGAAGCAAAAGCTCTGCAAGAGAAAACGACACCTCAGGCTATCTGCGATAAATTCTTTGACATACACAACGATGTTTATCGCTGGTTTGGCATCGGATTTGACTATTTCGGCCGCACAACTACACCCGAGCAGACAGAGTAAGATTGCGATCTATCCTTTTTTTTTTTATTCTTTTATTGTTTCCCTATCTTATCTACATTCTTATTAATTACATTTATTTTTTATTGGGGATACAATAAAAGGAATGAGGAACAGAGAATTGAACAGAAGGAATTACGCAAAAGTCAAGAGTAAGGCGAAAGAAATCGCCTGTCTGCCTCTTTTGCCTAATTCCTTATTTTCAATTTCACGTCTGATTCCATTCATTGTGTCTGAGATTTTACACTCTCTTTCAGAATCGTTCAAGCGTTTTTCCTAAAAATTAAATCGCAAGGCTACGTGTTGTCCGAGACCGTGGAGCAGCTTCATTGCGAATCCTGCGATCGGTTTCTCGCCGATAGATTCGTGGAGGGCACGTGTCCCGGATGCAAGTACGAGGACGCGCGCGGCGACCAATGCGACGGTTGCGGTCATCTCGTCAACGCGGTCGAGTTAATAAACCCTCGATGTAAGATGTGCAACACTCGACCCGTCGTGAAAAACTCGATACAGTTCTTCCTTGATTTACCCAAGGTAAAACATTTTACGTATCGTGATACTCCAATATAACCCGTGACACTCACGCGCGTGTTTCCGGCGAATTAACGGATTACCCTACGTGTTGCAGCTGGAGGAGAAACTGAAGGAATATACCGCTACCGTGGAGAAAGGATGGTCCAACGTCGCGAGAGTGGTTTTAAAAGCGTGGCTACGCGACGGTCTTAAGCCGCGTTGCATAACCAGAGATTTGAAGTGGGGCATACCGGTCCCGGTAGAGGGTTTCGAAAATAAGGTGTTTTACGTCTGGTTTGACGCCCCTTTCGGATATATCAGTATTACTAAGAGGTATACCAAAGAATATAAGAAATGGTGGCAACCTCCTCAGGATATGAAAATCGATTTGTACCAATTTATGGCAAAGGATAACGTTCCGTTCCACGCGATAATGTTTCCCGCTTGTTTACTAGCGGCTAATCAAAATAACACGTTGCTGAGATGTTTAATGGCAACCGGTACGATATTTCCAAAGAATGCACATCTCTCGGATGCATTTTTTTACTCTATTCTAATTCTATGGTTTTTTTGCATCTTTATCTTACTATCTTTTTTTTTTTTCTTTACGAACCTAGTTGTTTCTTTTATTATATTTCTTCACGTACTTTTTTCGTCGATACCTTCCTATCGATTTTAATATTTATTCCATTTCAGAATATTTAAATTATGAGGATAAGAAATTCTCCAAATCTAGAGGCATCGGAGTGTTCGGAACCGATGCCAGAGATACGGGCATTCCTGCGGACGTGTGGCGCTTTTATTTGGCCTACATTAGGCCCGAAACTCAAGATTCCAATTTTAATTGGGTGGACTTGGCCACGAAAAACAATAGCGAGTTACTGAATAATCTTGGCAATTTTGTCAACAGGTTTGTAATTACCGTACTCCTCCGTAAGTCGTTAATAATTAACGTCCTGTTATTAACAGTCCCAAAAACTTGTTACGGATAATAGAGCGCTGGTATTCTGTGAAAAATTCTTCGACTCTAATGTACCACCGATAGAGCCGGAAGAGGCCGATTGGACTGTACTAGCGTTGGCGCAACGCGAGCTGACGTCTTACATAAACGTCATGGAGCAAGCCAGGTTGAGGGACGGCTTGAAGCACATATTGGCGATTTCGAAGCACGGCAATCAGTATATGCAATTCCAGCAGCCGTGGGTGAAAATCAAGGGAAACGACGATGACAAGTATAAACCAACCTCGTTTAGTCTAATCTTTTTCTTTTCATCGTCGCTTCGTCCTCTCGAGTAATACTTTTATTCGAAATCAACCAGGAAAAAGGCCGGAACTGTCGTTGCAATCTGCTGCAATCTAGCCTGTCTTCTGTCCGCTCTTCTGGCCCCCTTTATGCCGACTACGGCCAAACAATTGAGATCTCAACTGGGTTTGAGTAACAAAAGTTACGGCTACATCCCCGACACGATAACAAACATGTTACCTACTTGGCACAAAATCGGCAAGCCCAGTCCGCTGTTCACCAAGATCGAAGATCAGAAGGTAGAGATGTTGCGTAAGAAATACGCCGGGCAGCAGGATACTAATGGCGATGTAGCGAACAAAAGCTCCCAAGAAAGTATCGCATCGTTAGAAGCTGCTGTTACGAAGCAAGTTAGTGGACCATTTCTTCTCTCTCTCTCTCTTTGTGAGATACGAGAATCATCTCCTTACACATTTTATGTAATTTCTAGGGTAATCTAGTAAGAGAACTGAAAGCTAAAAACGACAAGAGCGTTTGGCAACCGCAGGTAGAAATTTTGTTGGATCTGAAAAAGAAGCTAAACGACCTCAAAAGCAGTGCGAACGCGCCCGCGAAGAAATCGCCCGCGAAAAACAAGAAGGCCGAACCGACGCACGTGCCGGAGCAAAATGGGGATGCTCTGACAGACGTGGCGGCGTTGGAATCAGCTATCGCGAAGCAGGTACTGGATGTCGTGAAGCGGCATCTCTCCTCTCCCCCTCCTTCTCCTCTCTTAACGATCCAACGTACAGTTTTGTTACATTACGTCGCGATTTCAGGGCAATCTCGTGCGAGAGTTGAAGGCTAAGGAGGACGGAAGTGTGTGGAAGCCACAAGTGGAGATACTGTTGAAACTGAAACAGCGTTTGTCAGATCTCACTGGAACGGCGCCAGTCGCTGTCGACAAGAAATCCAAGAAGAAAAAATAACTACATTTCCTTCGTAATAAAGCGATGACATTTTTTTCATCCATCCACGTTCTTTACGTAGGTATTTCTTCTCGGCGCGTGCGAAGCGTGTGACGTAATAGTAATTCGATTAACGATAAAAAGTACACACGAAGCGTTTCATTTAATACATTTATTTCACCCTATTCGCGCGTTGTGTATCGGGGCTTAGAAGGGGAGAGGGGGGGGATCGTGAAAAGACATTTGTACTTTATTTAAAGTGTGCGTTCGTTCGCACTACATATGACTGTCCGTATGTAATGATGATCTGATAAACAATTTACATAAAAATACTGAGGATCCCGTTATTATCGGAACTTTTGCCTATTCCGATCTGATCTACCCTTTACTGATATCTCTTCGACATTAGTACTTGTTGGAAGAGATTACTTGCTTCCGGGAGCATCAGAGTGACGTTATTCTTGGGCGGACCTTTATCGTTTAGCAGTAGCTTATTTTTCTTATCGATTTTAATGTCTGTTCTAACACCTGGTTTAATACTTGGTTTAACGCTTTGCTTAATGCCTCGTTTAATGCCTGGCTTAACGTCTGGTGTAATACTCGGTGTAATACCCGATTTTCGCCTCGACTTCATCGTGCGGGAGATAAAGTGCTCGATGCCAAATACGATGAGCGAAAATATCATGCCGAAAAGCAGAAGAAACAAGATCGGCGCCGCCTCGTAGATGGTCACACTGGAGACGAAAATCTCGTCGCTCGGGCAATAAGGCCTCCTGGCCGACCGGCGACGTATCTCTCGTCGCCGTAGCCCCGAAGTGTTTATTTTCAATAATCTGTATTAAATAATCTCGAGCTAGTGTTCTTTTTTTAAGAATGAAAACTGCAACATTTAGTCACGTCGATATACTCACGCTATTTTAGAGATTTCGTGAAAGTGACTTTTAAGATTGCTCCACAGGCCCAACTCGGACTGCAGCAGGTGAACTTCTGTCAGCTGACATATCATCTGCTTGTCGAACGCAAGCTCGATCATCGGATAGATATCGTCCGGATCCGCGTGATAAGCGAAGCCTCCCCTCATTATTCCTTCCACGCCTTCCTCAAGCGAGATAAATCTCTTCGATTCCGGTACGGCGTTCCAAAAGTTCTTGAAGTATTGCACATCCGGTCTTTTGTTCTGATAAAGGAGAACAGCTTGTCAGAGCGATTAAGCTTAAAAATACTGGATTACTTATAGTGGCGCTTTTACCCGCAGCAGAAAATCGAAGAAGACATTCTTCTCGGCCGCCATCTGCATCCTGCTGTGCGCCAGCGAGTACAGCGAGTCGTTCATCTTTTGAAGAGGCTCGTTCAATCTGGCCGACACTATCGCCGCCGAATAGTAATTGTACACCAGCAGGCCGAAGAGCGTGATCTGAATGAAGGCGATTCGACTGGCCGATTGATCGGTGAGGGAAGGGAAACCTGGGATCGATGCATTATACGATAACAGGAGAACACAATATGTATCTTCGCTGTATCGTATCGTTATGATCATATAAATACCTTGCTGGCATAACGCGGCTATGGTGATCAGTGCCGAGATGCTGTAGCCGTAATCGTCGGCACGTTCCAGCTTCAGTATGCAGGACAGGATGAGAACTGTAATCGCCACCATCACGACGATCATGTACCACGTGTCTGCCGCGAACGGCTTTAGTATTATCCAGGGTTTCATCTTCATCGCCGGTATGGTACGAAACATGAAACAGGTACTGAATGAAAATTATTCGCATGTTAATTGGATCGAGAGATATTACTATTACGTTTATTTGCATTTATTTATACACACCCAAAGAGTGACGCTAAAAAAGGTGGTTTTTTCGCCCGTTTTTTTGGGGGGGGAGGAGGAGCCTCGATTTTAGGATTGAACTGTGTGCCAAATGGTACTCTGTAATGACATTAATCACAGAGAAGTTTCAGGCTGAGGTCACAATTGTTATAGCTGGTAGGGGGAGAGAGGGGGGGGAATAAAAAAATCAATTAACAATGGAAATTAAGTCTTATCTTTCTTTATTTTGTTTTTTAGGAATAGTTATCTTAGAACATATATTATATATTCTAAGATAGTTATAGATATTATACACATGTAATACGTGGTAATAAGTGTATTACATCATTACATTTTTTTACATTCAAAACGAGCATCATTCATAATCCTGATACATGTATAATATCTATAACTATCTTAGAATATATAATATATGTTCTAAGATAACTATTCCTAAAATAAAGAAAGATAAGACTTAATTTTCATTGTTAATTGATTTTTTTATCCCCCCCCCCTCTCTCCAGCTCTGATAACAATTGTCACCTCAACTTGGAAACTACTCTGTGATTAATGTCTCATTATAAGGTACCATTTGGCACACAGTTTAGTCTCAAAATCGAGGGCCCAAAAAAACGGGCGATTTTTTAGCGTCACTCTTTTCTCATCCGTTCACCGTTGCTTACCGCGTGGGCCACTGCGGAAAGATGACACGCGCGTAACTGTATCTCTCGATCGTCAGGATGGACGGATAGTAGCCCAAATCGGCGTCGTCCCTCTTCAAGGTGCTCATCAGGGGGCCGTAACTGTCGTTCTTCTCCCAATGATCGATCCCGATGAGATCCATCCTGCGCGCGAAAAACGTTTCAGATAACGTTACAGTATAATATACACGCGGAGATATTTAGATATATCAAAGTCAATTACGTGAAGTTAAACACGTCGGCGACATGCGAGAGAAGAGTGTGTCCGAATTTCGGCCAATTGTCCATTACCTCGAGGCCGTCGCCCTCCAGATAATCTACCAAGCTCATGTGCTCTGGTTTGTGCAGCACCTACGAACAACGATCGTCTATATGTAGTAATTAAAACGCGCGTTTTCCAAGATATAAGATTTACGATTCCGGCCGCCTTGGCTCGCAATCCGTGGTAATTTCGCCGCCTGTTGATCCTCCAATCGGTCAAATTGATCGTGAGCCCGTCGTCCTCTCGCCAACTGCCGAGCCATGTGACGTTGAGCAATCCGCCGCGCATTTTGCAGTGATTGTACACGTCGTAGAGGACGTAATCGGTATCGTTCGGCAGCAGGATCGCAAAATCCGTGACGATGCTGAAGCCACTGTCGTTCAGGCTCTGCAAACTGTCGTTCAAGTTGCTCCCGAAGATCAGCCAGACGTATGAATAGTCGAACATGCGATGGGCTGTACCCTACGCACAGGTTTCAGCTTTTTTTTATTTAATTTCCAGAGCGAATTTTTTTTTTTTTTTTTTCCAGAAACCAGTAAACGGAAATGGATTAAAATAAGTTGAAATATTTTAATCCATGGAGTGAAATGGATTGGCCTTCGTAGAAATAAATCCATTCCTATTTTATAATACGAATAGAATATTTTTTATATACACGGAAAGAACGATTTTGCTGGAAGATCTAAAAATTTTGCTAAATACAGATCTGAAAATAATTCTTGTTGAATCATTAAAATAATTTTGTTGGAAAGTCAAAAATGATAAGCATTTTTAACCTGTCTCTTATACACATCTC